GACTGAGAAGAGGTATGCTAAGTGTTTAGCATGACAAGAAATGGGAGCTGTTTTTACTGTTGCTAGTGAAGCAAGATGCCCTGTGTCTCTTATCTCTCACTACTCTCGCCACAGTTCTCTTAATCCAGATCATATGCTTTTAGCTAAAATCCCACAAAGTGAGTCTCTTCAGTAAAAGCTCTTCTCCCCAACTCCTCCTATTCATTTGTGTCCTCTCATTCAGAGACACGAATCGAATACCTACTCTGGGCCCAATTTGGCACCAGATACCAAAGATACAAACATGATTGACAAACATGATTGAATAAAACCTACCCCTGGGAAAAAGAGGTTCACAGATCCTTTGGTGGATGAGATACAACTGAGACTGTGAAGGACACTTTTTACCAACAACATGGAAGGCAAAGCTTGCGATGGCAAGCCCTCCTGTCACCTGGCATCCCAAAACCTTTGAAGCTAGAAGCCTTCAGGGTAACTCCAGTTACAAAGCGCAACCACCTTCTCTAAGATGACATAATTATTAGAACTGCAGGGCACTCGATTAGCTTCCCTGCTCTCCCTGCCCTAATGGCATCACTCTACGATTGCCAACATACTTCCCCACTGGCTACAAGGGTTTCGTGTATGCCGCCTGGAAACCAGAAATGTGTAACATCAAGACTGGCCCCTCGCCAAATTTCTACAGGGCATTAGTAACAAACTGGTGAAGCTCATTAAAAAAAAGAGAGAAACCTATAACCATTAAAAGTCCATTAAGCAGCCTGTCATTTTGTAGAGCTAAATAGCCCACAGTAATCAAAAGCATATGAACCCCAGCTGGGATACCCAGTGAATTGTTTCGATTTAGGGGAGAATTCATCAAGAAAGATTGTTCTTGGGATTGGGTTGATTTTTCTCCTTCAGTTCCTGGCCCCACGTTCCATTATAATTAAAGTGATTGATGCACCTCCCAGGCAGAGGTGAGCAGTGACCACCAGAGCCAAAACATCTGCTCCTTCTAAGCAAATGGCTAATACAGAACTTTAGTCAAAAGGCACGTAACTTGAGGTTACCCCTCCACTGTCAATTAGGTATGGCACAGTCAACTCTTTGCTGTCTGGCTGGGTTACATCTGGGTTATCTGTGAAATTTCTCTTTTCCACTATAGAGGGACTTTTATCCATACTTAGGTCATAGTCAAGAAACCAAGAACTAAATCTGAGGTCAAGAAGGGATGATTCCCTAAAATGGGAGCTAGAAGATCCATCCATTAGTTATTGAAATGTCTTCCTGTCTAAGGACAAACATGTGTTCATTTCAGAAACACGGACGCAGTCTTTCAGATCTACCACAGTCCCTCCTCCTCCCTTCACCATTTCTCCAGACCTGTGTAGTATACCCCTGCCTTTCCATTGTTCATTAGCTCCTCCATAGGTAAGTGGACACATGACAAGGAAAGAGGTAACATTCAAACAGTTTATGGTGGTACATTAGCAGATCAGCTCTGACATGAATAGTAAGAAAAAAGAGGAAAGTAATGACTGAGCACAGATTCAGAAGGTAACTGTAGGACTTCCTTCTCCACGCTTATCTACTCTACCATGACACTAAATGAAATCAAAACACTGATAGAAAATGAAGAAACTAAGATGTTCAGATGCAATATAATGTCTTCTGAGAAAATTGTGTGTTTCCTTCGAATGTTTTTATTGTCATTGTTTTTGTTTTTGTCTTATTTCTCAAAAGCCAAGAGTTTGTATTTAAAAAGAAAAAAAAAAAGTCACATTTGGTATAGTCAATACTCAACTACCTAAATCTATTCAAAATTCTTCTAGTAATTTTGGTGTACCACTTATTTATATTGATCCTTTCAGAGCTTTGAATTGTTAAATTTCTGCCTGTGTCCATGTCCCATCATTGACTATATGTTTCTCAAGGGCAGGGACATCTTTCTTCCTGTACCCCTGATAGCATCTTCTTAGTAGGAACCTTGTAATTCGGAGTCTCTCACTAAATATTGATAGAGTGATCCTTCAGTGTTGCCAGGCTCAGCATTCCAATCTCTCAGAAACTGCCTGTACTAAATTCGCCAAGCAGTTAATGAGCTCCTGTGCTGTCTACACAAACTCATTTGCCTTGAGAATGAAAACAAATCGATGTCTCCTTTATGCAATGAATTTGCTTAGGGATACATTGCAGATGATGCATATAAGTGGTCTTCAAAAAGTTCCTGGAACATTTGCATGATGAAAAAACTGCATGGATTTCAAAAGTTTTCACCATAATAAACTCATACTGCAATTCCATTCTCCCGGAACTTGGTGAAGTTCCTTCATGCATACACCTGGCACTTGTCAGAGGCCCTGTACCCTCTTCTGAGCTTTCTCACCCAAATTCTGCCAATTCTACCAGCCCTGACTTCTTTCGTTTTGTTTTGTTTTATTTTGTTTTGTTTTAAGGGCTTTTTTTTTTAACCATAGAGCACGTGCACTCTCCAGATAGAGAGAGTGAGATGGAACGTGAGAAATCACCCCCAAGGGAGGATGGCCATATAGCGATCCCTTCTCCTCCATTCTTCTGAAATTTTGGGCATCCATACATACACGCCCAGCAAGATTTTTATGCCGTCAGGTCTGAGACTCAATCTTCCATTGGCCTTGTGTGAGTCCAACATCTTAACCACAGTGCCACCTGCTGGTCCCACCCTTTACTTCTACCAAGAAGCCTTTATAGAACACCCAGTCCAGTCCAGGAATCTCTCCCTCTGAATACTTAAAATTTTAGTTAAGTTTGAGTTTAGTTAAGTTTAACCTCCTTAACTCATTTGCCTTGAGAATGAAAACAAATCGATGTCTCCTTTATGCAATGAATTTGCTTAGGGATACATTGCAGATGATGCATATAAGTGGTCTTCAAAAAGTTCCTGGAACATTTGCATGATGAAAAAACTGCATGGATTTCAAAAGTTTTCACCATAATAAACTCATACTGCAATTCCATTCTCCCGGAACTTGGTGAAGTTCCTTCATGCATACACCTGGCACTTGTCAGAGGCCCTGTACCCTCTTCTGAGCTTTCTCACCCAAATTCTGCCAATTCTACCAGCCCTGACTTCTTTCGTTTTGTTTTGTTTTATTTTGTTTTGTTTTAAGGGCTTTTTTTTTTAACCATAGAGCACGTGCACTCTCCAGATAGAGAGAGTGAGATGGAACGTGAGAAATCACCCCCAAGGGAGGATGGCCATATAGCGATCCCTTCTCCTCCATTCTTCTGAAATTTTGGGCATCCATACATACACGCCCAGCAAGATTTTTATGCCGTCAGGTCTGAGACTCAATCTTCCATTGGCCTTGTGTGAGTCCAACATCTTAACCACAGTGCCACCTGCTGGTCCCACCCTTTACTTCTACCAAGAAGCCTTTATAGAACACCCAGTCCAGTCCAGGAATCTCTCCCTCTGAATACTTAAAATTTTAGTTAAGTTTGAGTTTAGTTAAGTTTAACCTCCTTAGGTACATAAAAAGACTTCTCTCCTACCAGGAAAACCCTTTGAAGGTGCTATTATAGATCATGTTACATTTTATTTCTCACAGAACAAGAAGAAAGTCTGACACATTGAATGGCATGAAAATAAGAAGAAGAGAGTCTAAGTGACATTGGATATGGGAGAGCAGGGTGGAGCCAAGTTCAATCGGGTAAGAATGAATGTCCGGAAGATTGACCCTAGAGAAGTGAGGCAAACTCTAGACCCCTCCCTGATCACTCCATCCCAGGGAGTACCTTAAGCTATGAAACCTGGGGAGATGTGGCCCGTCGTTGGACATGGGGGGATCTCTGACCCTTATGTTCTTTCTTCCTTGGATGCCCAATAGTGAAGGAAAAATAAACATATAAAAGGCCATAAATTCCCTTGCAAAAATAAAGGCCCCTTTTTAATGCCTAATAGTTAATGACTTAAGTTAAATTCCAGACTCTCACAAAAAAATGGTAAGACCTCTTCCACCTCCTTTCTGCCTTGACCCCTACCCCTTCCCAAGTCAGAAAAGTTGCTACGCTTCCTCTTTATTGAACGAACGTCTTTAAGGGGGTGCAAGGCCCCTATTAAGAGTATTAGAAAAAAAAAATACTTTCAAATCATTTTTAAAATGGTCTAAGAATTAGGACCAAGATTCTCCTCTCCAGAATATTTTTTCCCACCACAGCTATCTATATGGGAAGATTTTTGTCCATGCAACAACTGATTTTAAGTCTGTCACAATGCATGTATTCTGTGGCACTCACATGGACCTGTTCTAAAACAGACTAAGGGGCCAACCAGTGGTAAGGTATTTAAGATGGCTGGGTCCCACGTGGCTCAGATGGGAGGTAGGAAAGATAAATTCATATACTTCCTTCTCTCCAAACTTGCCAGCAAAGTCATTCCAGTAGCCTGAAGGCATCTTCATGAAAGGAGTTGCAGGTGAAGGCAGTAGGAGCCAAAAGAACATGGAGGCTGCCTAAGGGACATCCAGAAACACTAAAGGAGATCCAAGAAAAACCAGCAGTATCCATTTCAACATGCCTTTCATCCTCCTGCAGTTTTTGTCAATTTTAAATATTCTCACTTTCGAAACTTTCTCACCCCAGTTTTATGAAGGGAATGCATCTCCACCTTGCTAGTCCTCTGTTAACTTATTTTCTTCCTACTTTATCCCATTCCCTTCCCAGTTGCTTTCTTATCTCTTTTTTATTTTTTGTCATTTAGTAACTCACCTACCCTTACAGCTTCAATTATCATATGTAAAATCACACTCTCCCAACTTCTAACTTTGACAGAAACTTCTACCTGGATGTCTACCCAACACTCCAAAATCAATATGCACCCCAAATTGAATTGTGTATCTTCTAAGACATATTCCTTCTTTCTGGCTCCCCAGCACACATTCCTGTGCTATAATCCAAGAAAAAAATTCATTCTAGTCTTTTCTTTGTCCTCATGCCCAACCAGACTGAAATTCCTTAATATTTTTTATTTAGTTCCCATTTCCTTAGCCACTACATTAGTTCAAGCTTTTGTTTCTGTAGAAACTTCTGAATTGATCTCCCTGCCTTCTTCTACTATAGGCCGTGCTACACTAACAAATTAGTCTTCCAAAAGTAATTCTGGGATTATGCCATCCCCTCCTGACTTGTCCTTGGCTTCATTCTGCCTGTAGATAATGTGGTAGAGACTTCTAGTGATCACCTACGCTGATTTCTTCTCCAGACTTCTTGCAGTTGCATCAGTCCGTGTAATAACCTCCAGCCATTGATCTGTGATTGAAAAGGAGAGTATCACTTCTGAACCAAGGCATTTAGAAGCATGTGTGACTTCTCCACACTCTTTTTTTTTTCTCCAGCTGTAGTGATTCTGGCAGCCAAGTATCGAGATGGCAGAGCCACAAACCATCACTGGGTCATCATATTAAGGATGATTTGCTGTCATCCTGGAGAGTAGCCTTACCCACATCAGACGTTTTTGTGTACTAGAAATGAAGCACAGTCTGAAAATATTCTGTAAGTAGTTTCTTTATTTGTTTTGTCTAATTTTTAGAGCATTATAGCCTGACTGTGTACTGGTCAATACAGTTTTTCCCTATTATCTTCAAGATTAAGTCCAGAATAGCATCCACATTTTTTAGAATGAGCCCACATTTCTTTTCAGGTTCTTTTCTCCTTTATTTCCATAAAAATATCTTCTTCTCTATTATATCTTGGCCACAGGCCCTTCACAATTATTCTTAATACTTGTTTGCTACCTGTACCTACCGATCTATCCTCACTCCTACTCCCATCTCCACACACAGCTCAACTCTCACATCCCACCTGTCCAGAATCTACCATCCCTTCAAAGTCTACAACAGGCACTGACAAACTATGGCCCATAGGCAATATCTGGCCAACCACCTGTTTTTGTAAATAAAGTTTTATTGAAACACAGCCAGGCTACAGCTACAATGTCATAGCCAGGATTATCTAGTCTGCAAGACCTGAAATCTTTACCATCTTGTCCTTCATAGAAAGTTCACTGACCTGTGTTTCAAATATTATTTCTCCCTTCCCTGCAGGCCATGGCATAGAAGTGATTCTGTCCTCCTCTGCATTCCTAGAGTGTCTAGCTATGCCTCTCCTGAATGTCAGACTGCCTCCCCGCTCCGTTGCAAGCACAAGGAATGGCAGGGAACATTTCCTATTTCCTTTTGAATTTCAGTGCCCAGCATCCTGCCTCATAATAGCGTACCATAGATACTAGCTAAAGATACAGATTGAACTCTCTAGACCTCTAGTGTATAAGAAGACTTCAATAAGTTTGTGGAGGGAACTGGCAGTTGTAATGGCTATGTCGCTGGATTCCCACGTAGTCGACCGCAGTTCGCATCCCAGACCCAGTGGCTTAGAACTCACGCCAGGCGCGTGTGCGTGCGTGCCCAAGATCCCGAGAGGAGAATGGAGGAGAAGGGATTGCAGGGTGACCATCCCCCCTGGGGGGTGATTTCTCACTTTCTGTCTCTATGTCTCTCTCTCTGTCTGTCTGGCGAGCGCACGCGCCCTATAGCGAAAATCTCTCAAAAATAATAATAATAATAATTAATTAATTTAAAAAAAAACAAAGTTTGTGGAAAGGGCCAACCTCATGGCCGAGTGATTAAGGTAGCCAGATTTCACTCAGCCGTGATTCAAATCCCAGCCCTGGTGGTTTGAAAAATCACACTGAGGACATGTGTATGTGTGTGCCCCAAATCCCAATAGGATGGAGAGTTGGAGGAGAAGGAATTTCGGCATAACCATGCTCCATAAGGGTGGTGCTTTCTCTCTCTTTCTCTCTCTCTCTCTCTCTCTCTCTCTCTCTCTCTCTCTGTGTGTGTGTGTGTATCTATCTTCCTCTTGCAAGCACACATGCCCTCTAGCAGTTACAAAATTAAAAGTTTGTGGAAAAATATAATTAAAATACAGGGTTTTTTTGGTACAGTAAATTTTGGTACAGTCCATTTTCCATGAACTTTTTGGAGAACCTTCATATTAATAAGAAGAGAATGAGCAAGGAAAAGAAATGAACTCCAATGATTACAATGCTAGAATTAGAACACATGGACTTTTTAGTTTAAAATCAGCCAATCTTCTTATAAAAATTAAAGTTAATATTCATATGATTATTGCTGGCTATTAAGCAATATCAAGTCTTCATAAAATAATGTTCTCTTTTAACTTGAATAGTTTTGCTTCCCAGTATGAGTTGAGCAATATGTAGATGGCCTTTAAAAGAAACGTATTAAAGTGTCAGACCCCACTCACAATTTGAGACAGTGCTTTTTTAGTTCCAATCCTGTGGCAAATTGAAAATAACCATAAACAAGAAGGCATAATGCACTTAAACCTCATAGCATCTGAGAGGAAAACTTCAAGGTGCTTTTAAAACGCCATTTTACAGATTGTTCCCATCATCCCCATAAGCTACATTACTAAGGTTTGAAGATTCTAACACGTAGAAAGTACACTGAATCATATAAAAGACCCATTTCCTGAATTGCTTCCATGTGTGAGAGGACCCAACCGTCTCTCACCTTTCCTCCCCAACACTCCAAAATCAATATTGGCGACTCCATTGCCAAGGAAGGTGCTTACGTTTCTCTGCCTAGTCTTTGATTAGCCAAGACAAGTGCTCTAACCACCCTGGTCTAAAGAACACCCAGGAGGGAAAATTGTTTTAATAAGCTGCTTCCTTTTTATCAGTCAAATATCACCAAAGATTTTGCTAAAGATATTGAGAGCCAAGGCAAATGTCACTTGTTCAAATAACTCCCTGTCATTGTCCACCCTTCACCTATAAAGGCTTCATAAAGAAATGAGCATTGTGAGATGTGCTGAGCCATCATCTCCTATCTACTCCGAACTAAAAGGCAAGACCCTGACCATCCCATGGCCTTGCAGTTAAGGGAACTGGATTCCACATGGCTGACTGCCCAGTTCAAATTCCAGATCCAGCAGCTTGGAAAACATGCTAGGCATGTGTGTGTGTGTGTATGTGCGTGCACGTCCACCTAAAATCCCTAAAGGAGTGAGAGAAAGAAGAGAAGGACTGCAACATGACCATCTCCCATGGGAAGTGCTTTCTCCTTTTCTCTCTCTCAGTCTCTCTCTCTCTCTTTCTCTCTCTCTCTTTCTCTGGAGAGTATATGCACTCGGGCAACTAAAAAACAAAATAAAATATAAAAAGACAAGATGTAAGGTTTTGTGACAGGTGTTGCCCAAAATGTGGACTGATACTGGTTCATATAGAATTTGTTACCAGGATGAGATAAGTACAGAAAATGAGAGAAAAACATTTAGAAGCTTTACAGAGATATAACATTGCCACAAATAGTTTGGGAAGCACCACATTTTTTTGTATGTAATCCCATGCACCCTTCATACACAACAGATGGTAAAGACAATCATCAGACAGAACTTGGACTTCTTGTTTACTGACTTCGCTTCTGTCTATAGGAAACTCATGCAATGAAATGGGACATTTACTGCTGAGTGAAGCAAGCCAGGCTATGAAAGAGAGACATTGGATGTCTCCACTTAATATATACTGACTGTCCATATTCCATAGTGGAAACTGAAAGACTAGAAAATATAGAAATATCGAAAATGGTTATGGATACTGGATACAGTGTGGGAAGAGGGTGGGAGATGGAGGGGAGTGTGAGGAAAGACATTAAGGAGAAAAATAGAGTCAAGAATTTATGGGACACAGAAATGGATTATTTTCTATTGATTATGGGTTTAGTATCCCCAACTGGACTTGCATGAAGCGTATTTATGTTGGGAAAATTCACTTTACAAACTAAGTGATGTATAGTAATTGAATTTATAAAAGAAATTAAAAGAAAATAAAAGAAAATAAAATATATTGCTCTTTCCCACTATATAAGATGGCAGGTGGAAAAGCTGAGAAGTAGGATACTAAGGAGAAGAAACCTGAAGCCAAGAAGGCTGATGCCAGTGGCAAGGTTAAAAAGGGTGACCCCAAGGCTAAAACGCCCAAGAAAGGGAAGCCCCATTGCATCTGAAACCTTGTCCAAGTCTGGGGCATCGGCAGATACTCCCAGTCTGCCATGTATTCCAGGAAGGGCATGTCAAGAGGAAAACAGAGGCAAGAGAGTGGTTTTCCTGAAGTAGCTGAGCAGTGACTTGCTACTTATGACTGGACCACTGATTCTCAATCGAGTTCCACTGCGTAGAACACACTAGAAATTTGTCATGGCCACCTCCACGAAAAATTAATATTAGCAAAGTAACAATCCCAAAGCACCTTACCAATGCTTACTTCAAGAAAAAGAAATTGCGGAACCCCAGACGCCAGGAAGGTGAGATCTTTGACACAGAGGAGAAATACGAGATTTCAGAGCAGCGCGAGGTTGATCAGAAAGCTGTGGACTCGCAAATTTTACCAAAAATCAAAGCTGTTCCTCAGCTACGGGGCTACCTGCGATCCGTGTTTGCCCTTACAAATGGAGTTTATCCTCACAAATTGGTGTTCCAAATTTTTTGCCAAGAACCTAATTAAATAACTGATCATATAAGAATAAATAAATTAAATGAAATATATTAAGAAAAAGCAATGAGACATTTAAGAAACAAAAACCCAAACATACTCTCCACCACATCACCCTAACCCCATTCTCCCAAGAGAGAAGAATCCTTTCTACTTGTTAATAATGTGGCAAAGGCAAGAGAAAGAAACCAAGAGAGATTGTGAGAAGGTGTTCTCGGGAGGACCCCGCCCCGTTACAGGCACATATTGGACTAATGGTGGGTTGATCACACTCTCTTCAAATAGAAATGTTGGCTCATTTCTAGCATAAAGATGATCATCTTTGTCATGTCTGCCCAGTGGACATAACTGCTGCCTCAAACTCTGTGATATTTTCAACCTATTTGTATTCCTTCTCCCTAGTAGATTTCATGTCTCAAGAGTGGATTTTTCTCCAGGACTCTTAATCTAATTTATTCCAGGATCCAACTATTCCAGGAAACGTTCATCTTTCAGAAGGAAAAAAAAAAGTGGATTGAAAAAAATACTCATTCAGCTATGGAGTACATCAGAAATAATCCTGGGAAAGAGATGTCATTAGCAGAGAGGTGCCTAACTGATTAATAAGAGCTTCCTCTCCCAAGAACATTGAAAAACCCAACCAGGAATTTGCATAAGCCCCCAACCTAAACAAGAGAGAGAGGAGAATGGACTGTTTAAACCAGAAAGCAGAAGTTAGCACCTGTTAATGACTTGTTTGTTGGCTCTCAAGCTGTTAACACTCAAACAAACTGGTCGTTAAGTGTGGTCATTACTTATTTCAATACAAAATTTATTAGTGCAAACCATTTGAAGATTTAATACAAGGGCAACCCTCACCCTACACACCTGGTATGCCCCAGGAGGCTCGAGGCAGGCTTCTAGCTGTTACGTCTGGGGAAAAAAATAAGTAATAACAATAATATTAATGGCCATTCTGTCGCATCAATTACCTATTTGCTTCAGCAATCAGAATGTGGGATGTGTTCTGATTCACAGCTTGATACCTAATAAGGACCACTTGAGTCTTCATTACTTTATAGGACCATTATGGTTAAGTGTGACTGATCTGAGTTCTTTACAAGCCTGCCGCAGGACTCATTATTATTAGATAGACTTTTGATTAAGCTCAGAATATTTTTTTCATTTTTTCAGTCTTTTGCAGACCATAATAAAAAATGAGAAGAGAATGAGCTGAGAACACAAATTGAGGAAATAGGGCTAGTGGTAAGTGGTGAAGGGGAGTTGTGGGCTGTATTATTTGTCACAGGTTGCCATATGATGACAAAAATGTGATCACCGGGAACTGCAAAGGCCAGAATTCTCAAAGAGAATATTTTGGTGGGCCAGCAGGTGGCAGAGTGGCTATGGTGGTGAACTCCCACATGGCTGACCACAGTTGAAGTCCCAAAAATCAAACTGGGTGTGCGTGCGTGCATGCCCAAAATCCCATTTAGGAGGATGCAGGAGAAGGGATTGCGGCATGGCCCTCCTCCCCTTGGAGATGATTTCTCACTTTCTCTCTCAATGTCTCTCTCTGACAAGTGCACACACCCCATAGCAAAAATCTTTTTTAAAAAAGGAATATTTTTCACTGCAACACTAAAATCTACTTCACTGGCAGATTAAAGAAAATAAAGTCTGCAGGGAGAGAAATTAAATCTCAAGAATCTCAGCTAGCCCAGTAATGATCATGTGTTTTATTGAGGATAAAGTCAGTCAGAGGAGGAGCTCCCTGTGCATCTCAGAAGGTGATAGGGAGTAGATAAAATGTTTAGCCTCCTTTCCTTGCCTCCATCATTATGGGACTGGGATTATCAGATACAGTAAATAAAAATATAGGACACCCAGTTAAATTTACATTTTAGATGAACAAATACTTTTTTAGTCTAAGTATGTTCTGTATGATATATGAGATATGTTTATGCTAAAAAATGTCATTATTTATCTGAATTTCAAATTTAACTGGACATCCTATATTTGATACTAAATAGAATACTTGACTATTAGAGAAAAGGAAACACTCTGGGTTTAGTAGCTCCCCAAACTGGTAGATCATGTGAATCACCTGAGAGAGAGTAAGATTTCCAGATTCCACCCCCTGAAGATTGTGATCAGGTAATTCATTGAAGGCTGGTTGAAGGCTTTGAAGATCATGAGCCATTGGGAGAGATGGACAGTATTCTACAATATGTCAACGTGACTCCTAAAATCAAGGAGAAGGGAACTAAGAGCTGACAAAGGCAGGTCTCACAAGGCTCAGCAAAGCCTTTATTTGCTCATCAGATAGTTGCTAAGCTCCCGCCATGAACAAGAATATGTTTGAGGGACCAGCAGTTGGCATAATGGCTATGTCACTGGACTCCCATGTAGTCGACCATAGTTTGAGTCCCAGACCCGGTGACTTAAACTCATGCCAGGTACTTGTGCATGCGTGCCCAAGATCCCTAAAGAGAATGGAGGAGAAGAGATTGCAGTATGACCATCCTCCCTGGGGGGCAACTTCTCACTTTCTGTCTCTGTCTTTCTCTGTCTTTCTGGCAAGTGCAAACACCCTATAGAAAAAAAAAATATATATATGTTTGGCCCTTGCCTTTGGGGAGCCAAAATCAGTGGCGAGATAAGAATAGAATTTAGAGAAGGGCAGGAGTCAGACAAGGGTACAGTGACACAACACTGCAAGACTGACTGACAGAGAAGATTCTGGGTTCATGTCTGAAGATCTCCCTGAGTGTGCACATGATTTAGGGCTGGTTGAGACTGGGGTTGCATCATGGCATCAGTGCTGTCTCTTAGTTTCTCTATTTCTCTCTGTCTCTCTCACTCATGGAAGAAATAAATTAATCAAATTCTTTAAAAACTAGTTAGAGGACAAACCTTTTCAGAGAGTCTTCTATGTGCCAGGCACTTCATTGGTGTGCTCCATTATGATCTTGTAATCCTCACCGTTGCCATTATTATTATAAATTCTCTCTTACCAGAGTGTGAGCCCCTTGGGGGCATGGGCTAGACTCTTCTTTGTGTGGTCAATATTTGCATAGTACTACTTTGCAGAGAGTACTAGATTGGTATATGAGTGGGTGGGTGGAGGGAGGGTTAAATAAGTGGAGAGCTAGATACTGGGTCATCAGAAAAGTCATGGCATCTTTTTCTATGCAAAACTGTATCATGATTTTTCCAACAACCCAATACATGAGTGGGTAGAGGAATAATGGGATGGATGAATTCAACAATGGACTTTCTGGTGATGATGACTGAAAAAAATTCATAAAGTAGATGAGATAAAACTCAAGCTAAACTCTTAAAGAAAAACCAGGTAGCAATTTCAAGGCTTAACCTGCATAACGCTTTCACTCTTTTTTCCTTATTTCTATAAGGACTTACAGGACATCAACCTTTTGGGAAAGCATATGCTAGACCCACAGTAGTTGCCTAGTGCTAATTCATTAAAAAATGTTAATGATTTACCTTTTTATCATTGGTTAAAATAATTTTAATGTGATTTGCCACATGCTTAAATCCATAATATTCTTTGAGATAAAATCATAGTAATGTAAGTGACCAGGAATATGTGAGTATACCTGATATTTTCACTCAGCCCTTGGATTGCCTGAGTCTTAGAGATCAGTGTGATTGCCGGTGTGGCTTCATGTAAAATAGAATAATTGAGCTAGTAAAATTTGAAAAGTATATTTTCATTTGCTCCATTCGATGCAAACTCAAAGAAGAGAGGAGAGAGTGAGCCTTTGATAGGAATAGCAACGGAAGACCTGAGTAGAAGAAAAACCAACTGTAAATCAAACGCCAGCAGGCAAAGGATGTGAACAAGAGCCTGGCAGAATTTAAATAATCAGGAATAAGAGGAAAAACTGAGTTCAGAAAAAGTGAAGCAGATTCCATTAATAATCATTTCAGAAGGCAGCAGAGGGTGGATAACCCTTGCTAGGGAGAGAACAGAAGAGAGAAAACGTGAAGTGAATAGCTGCACGTTCCTGTCTCAAACCCTAGCAGTTAACTACAGCTGTCTTGACTTTGGCCATGGAGAGAGATCCTGAAGTCACAGGCACAAGGTTGACCAGCCCTCAGAGAAGGGAGCTGTGCCCTGAAAACTGTGAAGATGATCTAGCTTCCCTGGGTCAGAGGCATCACCCACATGCTGGGGCTGGCTTGTGCATAGAAATAGGTGGCAGCCTACATTAGGCAGTTTTGAGGGTCCAGGCCCTATACCTTGAAAAAATGTGTTCCCTAACCTAATGCCTGACACCTGCAATTCTGGAATTAATGGATTTGTTTCACCTAGTTTCTTGTTCTCCATTAAAATTAATATCCCTAGCAAATACACATGAAATATTACCAGCCAGCCATTCTGAGGTAAGTATAGCAAAACATTTTTTGAAGGTACTTTACTAATAGACAAGTAAAGAGATCCTGAGCTCCAGGATGTCTGGAAGAGGGTCCCATGGGTCAAGGAAAGGGCTTACAGCAGTGAAACCTGCAAGACTCCTTTGTCATTCTGCCTGGCCACCATTTGATACTGAGGTTTTGCCTATAGCAGAGGCCAGCAAAGGCCAATCTCAGCAGGTCTTGCTGTCTGCTTCCATAATTGTGCCAATTTGTCCTTACCAAAAAATAAAAAACAGTCCCCTAAAAATCTCTATGTTAAATATTTGGTGGTTAAAATTCCCCTGATCTCATCATCCAAAAATAACTACGTGTCAAGATTGATAATTATTAGAACTGGATAATGAGTTATGAATACCTTAAAGATCATAATATTCTTTCTGCTTTTGCTATGTTTTTAATTTCTCAATAGAAAGTGAAATAATAATCATTTGTAAAATAATATATTTCCACTGAATTAATGCCACTAAATTAAAAAGAATGACTGAAGAATAAGCAATGCAACCCCTGAGAGCTTTTACCCACCCCCAGCCCTGCCCCAGCACAAAATGCATAGTTAGGTGGAAACATCAAAGGCTTCTACTTAGGAAGTCAACAAGCCGACAGCTACTAGATTGCATTTTGCTTTTCAGTTTCAAGTCTTGATAGCAGGTAGTCCTTGCCTGAATATTTATCCCTCCTCAATGGGGCTTTTACCTTTTTTCCAAAATCTTTCATGGATTTTGCCTTTCCCATCTCTCAGATCTTCCATTTTAGTTTCATATTACTAACCCCGTCCAGCACCTTCTCCACCCCAGCCTTTGCTATCAGCTACTCTCTTAAGTTATTAGAAACCTTCAGACTAGGCAGTAGTGCTGCAATAATGCAACTGTACCCAAGCAGGAAGATTTTGAGTTTGCATCCCAGGACTTCTCTGGGCATGCTGACACAGCTGATCATGACACTGATCCGTGTTGGCTGTGCCTGGGGGTGGATGGCAGTGTGATGACCCTGTTGGAGGTGTCTGTCTCTCTTTCTCTCTCTCATAGATGAAATAAATAAGCTTTTTTTTTTAATGTGAAAAGTCTTTCTTTTGCTTCACAATTTCCTAATTTTCATCTGACTCATTCTCCTGC